TAAATATTATACATATACTATATAAAATTCAGTAAGAATCCTAAATTTTCCTTTTATCTGTTGGTGCTGTGAGATAAGCATGACTGTACAGTACTCTTGGTCACAATGGGGTCATGATTAAATCCAAGTCTATCTGGATTCCCCCCCTGCACTTTTTTCAATATGAATTACTTTCAAACTTTTAACTAGTGACAAAAAAGAGAACACTGGAAAGGAGTGAGGGGAGAGGAGGGTTGTAGGGGGGCAGTTTTCTCCAAAACCTCTTAACTAAAGCTAGCTCTCGATGCAGAGGGACCATGCTTATGCTGTGGCATCTGTGCATGTTTTGGAATATTGCCACAGTCTCCCAAGATGTGTGTTTCCCAGTTTGAAAAGTATAGTCTGTAGTTCACTATTTTCCCTCAGGAAGTTCAGTGGAAACTTAGTCACATTTTAGGCCAGGGAAGCCTGGGTTTAGAGACAAAAGATAAATTATTTAGATGCTTAGAGCTCTCAAGTATACAATACAATGCGTATTCAGGACTATTGGTTCTCAAGTCTAGAAGTAAGCCAGTTGTCATTTAATGGATATCTATAAAATGCATTCTTCCAATTAGTAATAACAATAAAAGGATGCTTCATATGCTTAAAAAGTTTAGCAGCTAATATAAAAGGTAAATCTAATAGCTGTAGCTGCCATTTGACAAAGCATCCATTTGAGGAAGGGCCTTTCCCAAATTCTAAAATTACACAGATTTTCACAATGGTAACCTAGATACAATTAAGAAATATATTTGATAAAGACTTTTGATTAAAAAGTGAACTTTGATATGCGTGCTCTGCTTTGGCAGCCTGGGGTTTGCAGGTTCAGATCCCGGGCGTGGACGCACACACCACTCATCAAGCCATGCTGTGGCTGTGTCCCACATACAAAATAGAGGAAGACTGGTACAGATGTTAGCTCAGGGATAATATTCCTCAAGCAAAAAGAGGAAGATTGGCAACAGATGTTAGCTCAGGGCCAATCTTCCTCACCAAAAAAAAAAAAAGTGAACTTTAAGCATCTGCAGACAGGTTCACAGCAATTAATACATAAAACCCTCATTTCAAAGTTCTCAGCAAGAGAAAAGGGAAAATGATCAATAAATGGCCTAGAAGCAGAATAACAGCAGTAGGCAAGCTGTGTGGGACCAACAAAGATTTTCCTTGGACTGATGGCCAAGGACTTTATCACTTTCCTCTTGAAGAATGCTTTGAGTTAATGCCCAAATCATATGGGATACAATCAGTTAAAGCTTGTTTGCTTAAACTGACCACTTAGTGAATTATATGTAATTCATTCCACAGTATGAGTTCGGTCATTCAAAACATATGCCTTTTGTTTTGTTTACAAAGTCCTCAGGAAAATGAATCTCTCAGGTATTTCAGTCAAAATTCCAGTGGTTAGAGAAGACAGCCAGGTAAGCAGTACCTATGGAATGATAGTGAGGTGAGGGATGTCCCGGATTGGGTGTACCACAACCTACGCACACATACCACATCACCTTTCCGTAGAGGGCTGACCGCTCCTGAGATTAAACACCCGTGAATATAATAAACAAGACTGACCCCACAAACCACAAAGTAAAAACGTATCCCATTATGTCATTGTCATACCATACACACTATAATAACATTTTCAAGTACTACCGGGTAAGGAAATCCTCATTTCCATACCATTCTAGTACTTTTATAAAGCCGGAAGGAAGCTCATTTATTGCTATTACATATTTTATGTGAAAAAAATTTGAAAAATCATTGAGAAAATTTAATAAGACAAAATTTAGGTGATCTGGCTTCTCATTCTGGTTCTGTTACTAAAATTCTGGCAAGTTGCTTAAGATTTATGTGTTCTGTTGTCTTCATCTAGAAAATTCATGAGTTAGACTAAATAAGCCAATGCTCCATTCCAATTGAAAATCTTTGTCAATTAGATCTAAGATTTACATGAAGCTAAAATTTTAATAAAAATCCTGGCCTGTTTATCTGCATTCTCTGTCTATCCTGACAGAGATTTAGAATCAACCAAATGTTTTACTAAAATTTTTTCTAATGTCATATCTCAATTTTCTCAAGTTGATTTTCCTAATATTTTAAACACTGGAGTACAGCAAATATCAGAAAGATCATATCTGCATTATAAACTGTGGAAGTGAAAGCCAGTTTTAAGTTTGATCACATTTCATGAAAAATAAATGCTATACTTTCGCTTACTGATTACCATAAATGTTTGAAAGCCAAGTTATAAAATTCTTCAGTAAGCCTTTGGGAATCGAGCTCTAAACCCAAGACGACACATGACCTGGTCAGCAATGGGAAAGAACAAAAACTCTAGAACTAAAGGCAGAGATGGGTGTGTTGTGGGGAACACCCCTTTGGAAGACAGAGCTGCTAGCTGCAAACTGAGTGGCCCCTGAGTTGGATTTCCACAGCTCTGTATCACGAATGGAAATGGTGGTTAAGAAAAACAGGAGTCAGACAAGTCAGTTTAGCTATTAATTATAAAGGAAAGCCTGGTTAAAATAACTTTTCTATTCTTATCAAAGGGCTTCCAAAACTGGTTTTTCAGGACTAGGATATGAATAGAGGTTGAAAATTGTCTCCATATCCATTAATTAATTATTAGATTAAAACTCAGGATATAACACAGAAAAGTTGGCTAAAAGCACACGAATCCCTGTGGGAAACCACACACCCCCATTTAACCCCACCCTAATTTATTCCTTGGTACATTCATGCAAAAAAAGAAAATGTGATTTTCTTATTTGGGGAAGATCCAGTGGAGGGGGTTTGGCATTTCTCTCTCACAGCTCAGTAACTTGCAATGTCTTTAGCAGTCAAGAAAAAACAAATAAGACTTATTATCCATAAAACAATGCAGTTCAGCATTTCACCAAAAGCATCATCAGTGAAAACAAGGAGGTCCTTTTAAAAAACATTTTTATAGTCACTTGAAAAAATAGACCAGCAAGTGCCGGCCCCTTGCCGTAAAGAACTATCCTTATGTGTGACAAGATTCACCAGCTGACAGCTCCCACATGGAAACTCAAATAGGCTCTCATTTCTGTGATGCCTGAAAATGTGTAAAATTGCCAAGAAATTAAAAGCAATGCCATCTAAAATCACAACGAGGAACAGCAGAGCTGTTGACAAGCAGAACAGCCCGTTGGAAGCTGTGAAAATTTAACTGGAAAAAAGACAAAGTTAATACAGTAAGTTCTAATTTTAACCATTTGTGAAGAAAACAGGGAAAGTTATACAAGTAAGGCAGATGTATTTATGTTTGCAAATCAACTTACCTCTCTTGAGCAGAAAACCAGGACTTTTTGTCTAAACAGCCTGCACTGATTCCCGAGGTAGATCCGGCTGAAACTAAAGTGTACCTGGAGTTTACTGTGTGTAGTTTCCACTTCTACCTGACCGTGTTAACGAACAGTTGAGAGGCTTCTCCCTCGGTGGCTGAGTCACCCGGGGAGGAGGTGGGTGGTGTGAAAGAGGGTGTCACCTTCTGTAAATACCAATTCAACTAAAAGGCTCACTCATGGACCTACTGTCTTTGCTTGGTGAATTCTTTGAATAATTTATGGCCTTGTTACATCAAAAAAAATGTGCTTCTCTTATCACCCTTTTAACTGATATCAACAATATGTACAACTATATCACTGACAAGTTGGCATAGTACCCAACCTATTTTGGATTCTCTTTTAAAAACAAAAAACTCAAGGCAGGAGGAATCTCTGTCTGCCCTTTGTACCTGGAAGGCTGGGGCACAGATACACACACAGGAAGTATACTGCTCATAGGAACCAAGATCCTTTAGGAGAGAAAAGTCTTTTGGAACCCTGGGATCAAGAAATACAAAAGGAATTTGTTACATGAATTCTACACACAAAATATTTTGTAAAACTATCAGAGGAAAACTACATTCTGAAATATAGGAATTCTGATCCTTATATAATTTCACCATATATAAAAATGTGAAAAGGATGGCTGGAATTTCTTGCACATCTGAGGAGAGCAGTAGACAGCAGAGACAACACCTGCTTCTGGAGAGGAAAGAACAATCCAGAAGAGCCACCTAGGTGGGGGATCCTATTACAGGTTCCGAAATGCACCTTCCATAATAGCCAGGAGGCTTTAAAGAAGCTTAGCAAATCTGGAACATTGCTCACAGAAGCCAGGTCATTAGGATTTCCTGGATCACCTTTATTCATCTGTCACCCCAACAATTAACCAAATCCAGTCTTAAGACAGCTCCTGAAAACTACAGTCCAGCTGAGCCATGCCTGTGGAAGGGACTATAACCAGAAGTAGAAACATTCAGATTGGAAGGCACAGGCAATAGTAGTAAGCAGTCATTATGAACTGGGACATTACTTCCTTAATGCGCCCTTATTCTGGGCTGAGGAATTTAAAAAGCTAAACTGAAAAATGTTCTGTAAAACATATAGACATGTCTCTACAGCCTTTTCATGAAACTTCACACAAAATATTTTAGAAATATGTTTTAAATTTTTGTGATGCCCATAAATGTTGATTGGATTGAGGTTGGATATTAATACTACAGATGAGAAAGCTGAACAACCAAGATGTGACTTGGCTCAACTCAAAAAAGAAATCTGAAGTCATATTCAGCACCATAAAGAAGTCATATTCAGCAAAACAGAAGTTATATTCAGCATCATTCAGTATTCATTTAGCCAAATGAAGGGCTAAAACAGTTTAAGAGCCAGTTTGTAGGCACAAGTAGGTAACCTTACATTATAGAATGTCTAAATGTACATTTTTGTCCTTCGTAAAATATAGAATCAGAAAAATAAGTTTTTACCTTGTAACGACGTAAAATACACTACCCAAGGTACATTTAAGGCTTTTGAGCTTCCAAGCAATTATTTCTGTGTGTAATTCAGGGTTTCTCTCATTTTACATACCAAGAACCGATACCACTAAGCCACACCAGTGTCTTTTCATTTAGAACCACATCTTTGATTCAAAAAAGGGCTAATTCTAAACACTTGGGCAAAATTCAGACTCCTCGTTGCTGAAGAGACATTCAGCAAAAAGACTGTCAAAAATTAAGAATCTCAAAATTTGAAGAGGTCAGATCAAGAATGCACACGGGTGTGGAGGTGGCCAAATAGGGTTGGCCTTGGTTTCACTCAGGCCTTGAACCGGGAAGCCTTGAGCATGCTTAGAATAACTTGACTTCACCACGCCTATTTCACAGTGAGTGCCAGACTTCTTGAGGTCTCTTTAGAACATAAGGTCCTAGGCTGGGACAGCAAATGCTTTATCTCAGATGCCAACGCCAATTGCTTGGTGCTGGCTGCCTAGAGGGATACGATGAGGTTTGTAAGGCAACTTTGGACTTACACAGGAGAGTGCCATGGTTAATTAGCAATGTCTGCCACAGGTCTCAGCTGGGGCAGTGTTTGCTGACCCTGTCTCCTAAAATAGGGTGGTGCTTTTTCTACAAGTTGTATCCAATGAAACAATCAGCCAAAAGGAGCAGTTATTATGACATAATAGTGAAAACAGCAAAACTTATATAACACTTTTAATGTGCCAGGCTTTGTTCTAATCACTTTTCATGCATTAATTTAATAATTGTTATTAAATGATTGTCACCTCCTGCTATGGTCAAAATTCGTATGTTGAAATCCTAACCCCGAAAGATGATGGTATTGGGAGGTGGGGCCTCTAGGAAGTGCTTAGGTCATATAAGTGTTCTTGTAAAACAGACCCTCCAGAGCTTTCTAGCCTCTTCCACCATATGAGGACACAGCGAGAGGGCCCAGGCTATGAACCAGGAAGAGGGCCCTCACCCAACCATGCTTGGACTTCCCAGCCTCTAGGACCATGAGAATTAAAATTCTGTTGTTTATAAGCTGCCCAGTCTATGGTATTTTGTTAATAGCAACCCAAATGGACTAAGACACCTCCTCACCCCAGAGAGATTCCAAAATTGATGCTGAAAATGCAAAAAAATACAAATAGGACACCAGCTTTGAAAGATAGAAGTTTCCCCATTTTTCTCCCAGATGGAGAAAATAAATGTTATGTGCATGTTAAAACAAAAGAACTATCATTAGGGTGATAATTACAGAACCAATTTCTCTTTGGTTAGGAACAGGCGGATGTCAGAATTAATGAATTACCGCCAGTGCTGCAGAAGCTGGTGCATTGCTTAATACACTTTGATGGCACCAACATGATGCAGACCACTGGAAAGCACAGCACAGAGCGCACAGGAGCCTGACTTCCATTTTCTGTACAGACCCACTATTCACTATGGGCGAATCACTTAACCCTTATGCCCATGTCCGTCTTGGTGCAGTGAGACTGAGGTGATCTTTGCCAACTGGACAAGTCACAATGAAGACATCAGATTTTTTTTAACCAGGACTCCAAACGTGTGCTCCATAGACAACATCAGGAGGAACCAGGAGGACCGGGCCCTGAGTTCCTGAGGATTTCTGACTCCTCTTCATGCTCAAAATAGGCAACTACCCTTGCCCAAAGAAACCAGTAGAGATTAGGCATGGTTGATGATGATTATAATGATGATGATAAAAATAACAATAACAGCAGCAACAACAATAGTTTAAGTATGTACCAATCATTGCTAAGTGCTTTACATACATTCCTTCATCTGATTCTCACAAAAATCCTACACTATAGGCACTGTTGTTCTGTCGTGATAGAGATGAGAAAACAAAAGCCTAAGATTACACAGCTAGGAATTAGATGAGTCCAGAATTCCAGTCTAGGCAGGTTGGCTGTAGAGTCCACATTCTTGGGCATGAAGATCCACTGTCTCTCCATAGCGCCAGAAAGAAGCATGGGCACTTTAATCGAGAGACTGTAGCGGGACTACAGGGTGGCCCAAGCCCTGATTAACAGGTGACAGAAAAGTACAATGGTTTTTAGCAGGAAATGTATGTATACATGGATGTATGCATGCACTTACATCACTCATAGCATCAAAAATAATATACCACAGCCCACATAAACTAGATTGCAATGTCAGACTGGAGAATGGCCAGGAATCACTTTAGAATCTAGGGTCCTTTAATGATAGTGCAAATCTAACTCACCAGTTTTCTTTTTTCTTCTTTTTTCTTTTTAAATAGACTATTTTTACAGCAGTTTTAGGTTCACAGCAAAATTGAGAGGAAGGTACAGAGAAATCCCATATACCTCCTCCCCCCAACACATGCATAGCCTCCCCTATTATCAACATCTCCCACCAGAGTGGTACATTTGTTACAATCGATGAACCTACATTGGTACATCATTGTCACTCAATGTCCATAATTTACAATATGACACCACTCTTGGTGTTGTACATTCTATGAGTCATGATAAATGAACAATGACATGTATCCACCATTATAGTATCATACAGAATAGTTTCACTGCCCCAGAAATCCTCTGTGTTCTAGTCATCCCTCCCTCCCCTGCAACCCCTGGCAACCACTGACCTTTTCACTGTCTCCATAATTTTGCCTTTTTCAAAATGTCATATAGTTGGAATCATACAGTATACAGCCTTTTCAGATTGGCTTCACTTAGTAATATGCATTTAAGTTTCCTCCAAGTCTTTCATTGCTTGACAGTTCATTTCTTTTTAGAGCTGAATAATGTTCCATTGTCTGGATGTACCACGGTTTATTCACCCATTTACCTAATGAAGGTCATCTTGGTTGCTAACAAGTTTTGGCAATTATGAATAAAGTTGCTATAACCAATCCATATGTAGTTTTATTTTTTAAAAAAATATTTACACAATATTTTGAACCAGTCATATATTTATATTTTTCAGAAATTAAAAGTATAAAAGGAAATACAGTGAAAAGTCTTTCACCATCTCCAAACTTCAATCTCCAAAAAAGTGCAGTTATTAGTTTCTTCTGGGTCCTTCCAGCGACATTCACATATATAAATATATAAGCTTATATATATTGCTTATATAGATATAAGCAACTGTAAGATATAGATATTTCCTCCATTTTTTACACAAATGCTTGCATATTACACTGTTCTGAATCTCACTTCTTTCCTTTAACGTTATATCTTAAAAGTCTTTCCACAATGTGTTTTTCATAGCTGCTTGGCATTCCATCATACGGATATTCTGTAATCTTTTTCAACAATCCACTATTAATGGACATTTCTATCATTTCTGGGCTTCTGCTAACAAACAACGCTGTAGTGAATAACACTGTACATAAATATTTGGCATGTGTGTGTATATATCTGTAAGATAAATTCTTGCAGATATAATTGCTGGACCCAAGGATCTATACATTTTAACTTTGGTAGATAAATATTACCAAATTGTCCTCTGTGATGGATTTACCAATTTATCGCTCTTATTCTTATTTGTCTTCTTTAATCATTTGTTCATTTAACA